AGCCATAGATCTCAGGGTTACACTGGGGAATGACACCTTGGATGTTGATGGAATAGCCTACTCCATGAATACCCACTACATAACAGAAAAACTAGACATATTGTATCATTGACGTCATATATTTAGCTGCCAGTAAAATGTGGTACACTGTATACACATGTTCACGAAATCATCATGAAAACCAAATTAAAAGAAAACATAAGTATATTGCTCTAGGACTCTCGGGAAATAAGAACATTCATTAAAATTGTATAAAAGAAATCAGAAAATGACAAGCAATCTGCCTCTGGTTTTACTGAAATTAACATGAATGATAGCCAGGAAGAAGAGATAGTTTCCTGCAAGACATGTTGGGATATTTTGTGGTGCTTTTCTTTGTACTTATGGGTGTTTGGCCACCATGTACATGCAATTCCCACAGAGGCCAGGTGAGGGCAGATTCCACCTGGAATTTAGGTTACAGAGGTTTGTTAGCTGTCCTGTGGGTCTTCTGAGACAGCAATGAATGCTCTTCATGGATGAGCCATATATCCAGTCCCTGCAATGGCTGTCCTGCCAGCCATGTGTGCTGTCTTAGGTGGATTGGATCACTCCCAACCAAAAGTTTCATGAAACCTGTTGGGACAGGCATGCTAACTGTCTCAGGCTGCCACACATCCATGCAGGGCTCTCATAGGTTCAAGATCCTGCCCCAGTATCACTGACTGTCAGACTGGCACAGATTTGCTAGATCTCTTCTAGGTTGACAACACGTATTAAGACTGTCTGATGAAATACAGAATTAAGAAGACGGTCCTGGGGTGAAGATGGGGTGAGGAATCACTCTTGATGGTCCAGATAAGCAATGTTGAGATGAACCTCATTGACTAGGTGGAGGGGATGGAGCCTGCATCAGGGGCCCCATGTCTCTGGTGCAGAGTGATTCTGTACAAGACTAAAAAAAGGAGAGAGGTAGTTGATGCTGCTCTTTTACCACAGCAGATCTCAGATTATTTTGAGAAAGTTCTTTCAGATGACTGATTGACACTTGTGAAGCTACTCTGGAATAGATCTGACTCCAGAGATTGAGAGTGGGGCAGAGAGTTCATGTGTCAAGGAAGTTATCCCGTGGGTCTCCAGACTGGAGCAGTCACATCAAGGGTAAAAAGAACCTTGTGTCCTTTGGTCTTCATGTAGTGGGGCAGTGCCAGGTCTTGGCCCACAGAAGCTAAGACATCTAGTTTTTCATTCCTCACTTAAACTAGAATCTCTCCATCTCATATAATTACTTGTTTTATTAGATTACTGTGTGTTCCATTTGAGAAATTTCAGACTTGTGTTATTTTACTTTCTCGCCCAGAAGCTATAGAAACCTTGTAGGCTAGCAACAAAGCATCATCTAAAAAAAAAAACAGGTTAAGGGAATGTGACCATGTGGATTTTATAAGTGAGATAAGGCTGTTGTCAGGCCCAAAATACTCTAAAAGTTCTATACCTTTTTGGTGCATTGGTCAGGGTATTATGGGGTAACGTCTTACAGAATGAATTTTTATACAAAATTTTATGCAAAATTTTATACAAAAGGCTATATTTTAGAATGACTTAGAGGCTGTGGTTCAGCTAATTGAATTTTGGCGGCTATAATGGCAAAGTCCTCTAATCCAGTAGTTGCTCAGTCCACTATGCTTGAAGTCTCAGCCCATCAGCAGTATAGTCTGGAATCCTAAAGCAGTTGGCTCCAAAACCAGTGAAGGAATGGACTTGCTAGCAAGGTGAGAGCAAGCAGCTAAAGAGCAAAAGCCCCCTTCTTCCATTTCTTTATATGGGCTTCAAGCACAAGGCTTGCCTGAGATTACAGGTGGGGTTTTTTTTTTGGCTCAAAACATCTGAGGTAAAGGCATTCCTTTCCCCCATCAATATCCAGATTAAAGGAATGTCTTTGTACAGCAAAAATCAGGATTACATGTGGATCTTCTCTCTTCTAATTAAGCAAAAATACTTCACAGGCATGCCCTTCCACTTTTGGGTGTTAGTTAATTCCAGAT